CTGGATCTTTATGTTAAGATGCTGAAAACTGACAACTTGACAGCCTATTTGCTAAGTACGGTAATTAAGGGTAATTTCTGTAGTTTACCTGTAGAAAGAAAAAAAAGGTTTAGTGCCATAAATAATCTAATAGTTGAGTACGGTAGAAGAGAACTCTAGTAGCTCAAGGTCATAATTGTATCCACCTGGGTTTAAAGTGCTTTTTGAGTCACTTTTGCATTTGTGTAAGTACAACTGCTTTGTAATGTGTGGTGCAAATTAAAGTTTTCGAGATAATGGGATGATATATTGACGAAGATCTAGATTTAAGTCAAACACTTTGAAGGAGCCAATGCATCCCAAAAGTCTTTATTTTTAAAGTGTGTGACGATACCAGATGGCTCTGCTGTATCTAAGCACTTCATGTTAGACATTAAGACGGCCATTTCTTGCAAGTAGCAATAGAAAAAAGTGATTTAGTTGAGCTAAGAAAACACCCGGGAAAATATATGCAATCAACCTAAGGAGTGAGGGCTTTCTCTGATTCTTCTGTAATTGTAATTCTTCTACAATGGTTTAACATCAGAGATGGTGATACTCCGTGTGTCTCTTTTTTACCATGTACCAAAAGTACTGTACACAATGCAAAACAGGCAAAACTGTTTCCTAAGGAATTTAGATTTTCTACTGTAACTTAGCATTTTGAACTCATTTTCTGTGCAGTCATTTTTTCGTACAGTTTAGCATAAGATTGTGCCTCATTTCCGTTTATACTTATTTCTTACTGCCTTTTTTCGTACAGTTTAGCATAAGATTGTGTTTAGTCTCTATTTTGTTTAGTCTCAATTTGACTCCTTCACAAGGGTTCCTGTGTCTGGACTCAAAAAAAAAATAGATATGATATATCTTAAATATTGGATTTTGATAACAGAATATACTGTGAAATAGTTAGCATTTATTGAAACCTGCAATGAAAAGAATATATAATATTTATGAGTATGGAATATCTGTGTCAGAGCCTGTGTGGTAGTATGTGTGGCTTTGGACTGTGTTAACGATACTGGAAGGAAAAAAACCTTAAAATTTATTAAAACATATTTCTGAACATTTGGAACAATTTTGACATATATTTTGACACAGGACTTGAGTCTACAAAGTTTGCTCGTATCACGCCTTTAAATTCATTTTTCTCCACATTTCTTTTTAAATCTCTCCCAAACTGGTGAATAAATGGGTGATGTATTGGCGTATTTATTTTCTCACAACTCTTTCCTTTGCATATGAATTGAAAAGAAGTAAGAAAAAAACACCACAAGTGGCTGAAAGGAGGAGAGAGTTCTTTTGTGGGCAACTCTGTCCAAGGCTATATAGTAGCAAACAATATGGGAAAACAGGAAGAGGTGGTGTGCAGGTAGTGAAAGGACGTCATTCAACCTTCAGTCAGCGCTTATAAAGCGAGTTCCTCACTGAACACGTCCGATCTGAGCAGCCGGCCTTGATGGAGCGGTGCTGTTGAGGAGTACATCTCTTTAAGCTTTTTAATATGCTGGTCAAATAATGGCTTCCTCTGAGACCTTCTCCCTCCTGAGGGATTTCAAAAGGGACGTTTATTCTGCACTATATTGTGCTGTTTTTGTGCCTGTGTGTGTGTATGTGTGTGTGAGAGAGAGACACTGTGAGTGTGGGCTACTGCCAGCGGGCCAGGCAGCACATTAAGACAGTGACTGGCAGATCTCATTTGGTGCTTAATTTCACAAGGTTGAACTCTCATCTACGAAAGACCCCTCGGCCGCGGGCGAGCCCGCTGAGTGATGACGGTACTTTCTAGTAGAATGACGTTTTTACACTGACGGGACGTTTGCATAGAATGTAGTGTTAGAATAAAGATTGTGAAATTTCACATAGGAATGAAGTTCAGTCATTTGTTAAAATTAAAAGACAGTTTGTCCTGAACAAGTATAAACAAAGAATACAGCTCCCCCTACTCCCTCTAGGGGGTGCTGTTTATGATGCGTTTTAAAAATCGACTTTTCTAACAATAAGTCGATACATTTGGAAATAAAATGGAAACAAATGTACAAATAAGGGAAACTTCACAGGTAAATCAAGAAGTATTGAAAATTGAAATGTTTTGGCCTCATTAAGACTGGGCCTTGTCCCCCTTGGTGCCCCACCCCACACTTTTGGAAACCACTGTAAATCAGTTTCTATGATAAAATGATAAAATTCCAACATGGAATAATAATAATATTTCAAAGTGTAACAAAGATTCAGAAACACTGTGTTATTTTGGTGCATTGTGGGTTGTTTCTTTTGCGTTTTTGGTTTTTTTTTTTGCCCTTGTTTCAGTTCAATTGGACATTTTATGGCCCCATAAGGAGATTTGGTTTCAGACTGGTTCTGCAAAACACGTGCAATAAAGTCGTGTCGTAAAGGCACACTGTAAAAACAATAAACACGTTGCCTTATCACGATCTGACAAAGTGCAGTGTCAAGTGCGCCCTCTGTAAATACCAGCAGCTTATAAAACTAATGAGACACCTGTGCGGTAGTCGGTTAAATGCGGTGTTTTGTTTAAGAGTAGGTTGAAGCGAAATACACACGGTAAATAACGTAATAACGTGTAGATTTAAATGGCAGCCAACCATCATACTGCAGTATTTGTAAATATTGCTGTATCTTTTATTAACGTGACTGTTTAGAAACGTCGCTTTCTTTTTCGGGAATATTAAATATGCTTTGTTTCGGCTTTATTTTTATTGTTGCAGTTAAAGTCCTGGTTATTTGGCTCAAGCTAATACTCTGTGTACCATGTTTTAACATATAATAAACCCAATGTTTATTTCAAGTACTGCAGTTTTAATAGGTAAAACATCTTGGTAGGTTTATCAGTTTATTAAAAAACACGAATATGAGAATCCAATGCAGGATATTAGGTTGGTCTTCTACAATAGAAGAAAAAGAAAAGAAATATCATGTGACTTCTAGCTGAGATATCTTAAGTCGTGGCTCTAAAATGGTGTTATTACAGTTGCAGTCTGAGACAGGTTCAAGGACGGCCTTTGTCAGCGTCTTGCAACCGAGCATAGTCGGAGATAAAATTCTAGTGGTGTCAGTAATTTAGGGTGACTATGTCTTATTGTGACAGCTGCTACGACGACAGAATGGACTCTGCGACACCAGTGCTAAACCCAAAGAAATGTACAGTTTCAGTTTCTTACCTGAATGGTTCCAGTAACTACAGGGGTGCAGATGGCACAGTGTGTCATGCTGTATATATTTTAGTATTATTAGATGATATACCTTGTATCTTACAGGTCCTTGAAGATTGCCTAAATTGCACACTCTTTAGAGGCTAATGAGACAGATATGACATTTTTACTGTTGTGCATTTAGTGCAGTACATCGCAAATAGTGGGGCGGAGCCCGTGGGGGGGGCGTGGGGATGTGTCGGGATCGGAGAGGGGGGCGTGATGGGTTTCCAATAGCATATATCACGCTGGACATTAGTGTACCACTGCTGTAATGTTTGGATGATGACAAGCCTCCAGTCACTAGGTGGCAGCAACTCATACAGTGGATTGTACAGATAGAAATATACATGTTATCAGGTTCTCAATAGTATTTCAATTTGCCCGGGGGGTATGACAGAAATTTAATTTCTGTCATACCGTTCTCAATAGTATTTCAATTTGTGGGGCAGGGTATGACTGTTTTAATGGAACCAAATGTTGAAATTTGTGATGTCACGGTAATTAGCGAGATCCTGTAGTATAACAAAAAGAACAAGAAGAAGAATGACTTCCTGTGTGTAGTTTTATATAATTCTACAAAATGACCACAGACTTAATTTGAGTGGGGATTTAAACCAATGCTACTAAGGTAACATGGCTCTTCTGGTGATGAAGGTTGAAGACCCCTGAACTGGAGGGAAGTTTCCAGGCTGTGGTTTACAGTGAATGATTGGCTGCAGGTGAGGCAGGCGAAGTGTTATCGAGGTGTTGAATTACACAACGCACACCAATCTACAGAACACAAAGAGGGAAAACAAGTGAAGTGCACGAAAGTGAAGTTTCGATTGTTTATTTTTACAACAGAACAGCTGTGTGAGAGTGTGTGTGTTTGTGTGTGTGTCTCTGTGTCTCTGCTGCGGCCTAATGATCCTCTGACTTTGTGTGCTGTTAGCTCTCTCAACTCACAGAGACATTTACAGGCTCGGTGAAGACATCAAAGGATTTTAGTATTTGGGACATAATGCAGATAAAAAGCCCATCGGCTTTGGCTTTGATGTTTGTGTTTGTTTGGAGTTTTTTTATATGTAATTTAGTTTTAGATAACAAAATAGCAAAGATAAATCAGATTTTGTTGACAAAATGCAAGAATAATATTGTCATGTTTAGGAACATTCACTTATCTCACTAAACTTACGTTTTATGGTATTCTAATAGAAAACTAATTATTTATTAGTTATTTGTATTCATTTTATGTATGTGCATTTGTTGTTACATTTGTTTATTATTTTAAAATATACATACATACAAAAAATATACATGTTATCAGGTTCTCAATAGTAATTCAGTTTGTGGGGGTGGTGGTTAGGGGTGCACAGGGGGGCGTGAAAACGTCTCTGTCCCCAAGGTTCTGTACCCTACGTGTCATAATTACCCCAGGAAGACGAAGGTTACTCGTCCTGATTGGTATAATTTCATTAGATTGAATCACCGGAGTGAGTTTTGGTGCGCACCGCGGAGATCGTTGTGATTTGATGAAGATGTACGTTTACTCACAATTAAATCCAAGAATTGTTGAAAATAGAATCAATTTCTACACATTAGGACGACAAATCACTGCTTAATCTAACACACTTAGATCAGATTAGGGAGATTACGTCTCACCTTGACTGTGCTGGAGCAGCACCGAGAAGCAAACTGTCCTGTTTGCTCCAAATCAGGATAAATATGACGAAGAAGTTTGAGGATGTTCATAGTTTTTTTTTTTTTGTCCTTTTCTTTCTCACTCAGGTAGAGACTCATGGGAAGCCTGGCTGTTTGGGCTGTGGCGGTGGTCACTCTGCTGGGAACGTCAGGGTCCTGGCTGGCTGAAGGGCACAAAGGCAGCAAGCGTAACGGCATGGATAGAGGCGGAACGTCACATAACTCCTCCAAGAAACCACATTTCATGGTATGTATGGCCCCGAAACTCCTTTATCATGCTCTATCTTTTTGCTCCTGGTCTCTTTCTCTCTCTCACACACACGTACCTACCCATTTCCCACAGAGGCCATCACCTTCACTCTCCAGTGACAGAGAGAAACTCTTGCGGTGGAATAAATCGATCATATCAAACATAAATCAACCGTAAATCAAATCAGAGTAACAAAGAAAAATGGAGTGAGCCAAAACACGGTGTGTTTAATTCAAATCCTGTGAAAACGGCCAGGACTCCGTGTTGAAGATCTCACAGAGATAATGACTTTAACAGGAGCGCGCACGTTCTCCAGGTTCAGTTCTAGACGACAAACACCACGAGCGGTTCTTTACCAGCACAAACGAAGCCCTTTTTAAGAACTGACGTCTACATAACAGAAACACAAAGCGCTAACAGATTGTCAGGCAGACAGACACGTTCCACGTAGCCCCGCGGTCGTCCTAATTCTTTGTGAAATGAAGCGTGTACACCCCCCTGGTCTGTTCTAAGTCTGACTCACTCCGGGCTTTGCCAAGTTGGCAGTCGGCTAGGAAAATGTGAGACGCCTGTGGTTCTGTCCCCTGAGATGACTTCATGCAACAACAAAAAAAAAAAAAAAATCCAAGGCATTCCCTCTGGATCTGGATCAGAACTTATCCAAGCTGTCTGTTGATGCCAGAGTTTAAAGTTGACCCTGGAGTAATTTATGTTAATCCCTGGATATGTGGCAGCTCTGCCAGGTGCCTGTTTGTAGAGGTGATTGCAATCTTGTTTAAAAGAAAAAAAACAACCCTCTCTCCCCCCAGAGTTCTTTGTTCGACCAGTTAAGATAGCTACAGCGTGTACATGCAGTATCGTTGTCAGAGTTCTTTGTTCGACCAGTTAAGATAGTTACAGCGTGTACATGCAGTATCGCTGCCATATTCTCTGCTGAATAAAAACTAGTGGTCCCTCGTTTATCGCGGTAGCTAGGTTCCAAGGCCTGCCACGAGAACTGAATTTCCGCGAAGTTGTGACACTATATTTATGCTCAGTAAAATGATGATGAGGAAGGTGATGATGACTTTTACTGCGCAGCTGATGATTGAGGTGCCATTTCTTGCGGCACCTCTTCCACGGTTTCCGAAGGTGTATCCGTAGTAGTAGCAGGAACTGGCTCTTTTTTTGCGAGGCTGCAAAAACATTGTGATTCAGTACTTTATTTTTTTTTTTTCTGTTTTATAACTCGTGGAAATTTGTCCGGAACTCATGTTCATGTTCTTTTGTTGACTGTAGTCTGGATCAATAACCACTACAGAAAAACCACATTATGGTCTTGACTTGATTAAAGGCAGAGGTGAGCAGTTCAGCGACCTTAAAGGAGGGGATTGTTTGACAGAGAGTGAAGAAATAAAAGTTTTTTTTTAAAAGGGGAATAAAAAGCAACGAGGGTGAGAATAATGAATAGATAGCATTCTTTCTGTCCCGGTGATTACAGGTTGTTCTGGCAGCACGTCGGCCTGACTTCATTTACATTTTGATTATGAGCTCATGAAGCCTTTCCTTTTTTTTCTACATGGTTTTTACTACATTGTCGCCACCAGAGGGTTACTGCTGTTTTTTTTGTTTGTTTTTTTCCTGTGCTGCTATTTTATCGTTTGCTCTTAAAAGTGGAATAAAGCTCAGGTTGTACCACGGCGTACACAGTTGTTTGTACTGTAGACAGCAACAGAACATTACATTTTGGATTTGTGTGTCTACCTCCACTAATGTTAGACATTTCTATTTGAAACGAGACACTTCCTTAAGTTGCAGTATTTTGTAAATTGCTGCCACAGGAGCTGCTGCCGGTACAATGAAAGGTGGACACATTAAAGTAGCGTTGCTGAAAACTAAGGCTGGTCGTTGAGCGCCGAAGGAGGATCTTCATTTCAGTTGTTGCGATTAATGTTCACATAAAATGAACGGCGACTAAAATTAGACTCCCTTTAAAAACTTCACTTTAATTTGTCTCCCTACGTCATGCAGCTATCTTAGTTAGCATCTGAGCTGTCTACAGGGCACGACACAGTCTGTGACGTAATTCAAGCCAAAAATTTGACAAAGAAAATTAAATGCACTTTTTTGCCCGATGCGACTGAGGGATTTTAAAAAAGTGTGCAGCAATGTTTACCGTGTCACCTGCATCTTCGTGGAATTTCTTTGGCGTTCGCTCCGGTGCCACTTAAGTGTGATGTCACACTATTTACATTGCCGCTCTCACCATCTGGCCTGAACAGCTTAGACATCAGCCCCTGTGGTTTCCAATCCTACCGCGTCGAGTAAGACGAACAGAAGTAACAGGAAATGCAGCATATGTCGCCGCTCGCTCGCTCGTAGAGCTAAATCACATTCAGAACTCAAAATATGCAACATTCCAATGAAAATGTGAAGACGAGTTGGTGTGTTCCACAGACGTACACGGTGGGAAAATTAAGGAAGTAAGAAAGTGTGAAATTGGGCTGTGATAGTGAGGTCTAAAGAGAGGTGATACTGATGTCAGCTAACATACGGTTCACCTGAGGAAAAGTTTACGGCACTGATGTATCATAAAGCGCAACAAAACAAACATTTTAAACGTTAATGATGTAAAAATAAAGTTGTTTTGTTTTGACAAAATCCATTAACCAAATTTTTACATTCCAGTTTTTTTGAGTTATTTTCTACCCAAAATTAAGATTTCATCATTGCAGATAAGAACATCTCCAAGCATTCTTATTATGTATTTAAAAAAAAAGTTGTGTTGCCTGATTTTTTTGTGATATAATGAGTTAAAAAAAAAATCAGTCACTAATAACAAAGTCATATTTTAATGCTAGCACGTATCAAGCCTGATTTTGCCCCGGTGCCAGCAACATAAAGCTGTGTAAATCAGGAAACAATCAAACAATGAAACCGTAAAGTATGGATAGCACTAACAAGCAAAGATACACTATATATGGAAAAGGTGCTCATTTGTTTGCATTGACGTCAGATGTGAACTTATTTACAACCGCCTTACATCCAGACTGAAATTTTCCACTTGTTTGCCCGAGGACACGGCTGATGCGGAGAGAACTCCTTCCTGTTCTGTTGTTGTTTTGTTGGCTTTCAGTTTGGTATAAGAGACGGACAGGAATCAGTCCAGTGAAACAGGTGCCCTTTTATTGTGCACAATATGGCTTTATATAACCTGCAACTAAATAACCTAAGCACAATGTATTCTGGGTATTTCTCCTACCCATACCCAAACTTACTACAACATTGTTTTAACCCTTCCATCCCTTCGCATTTTGTACACACCCGTTGCGTCCTCGCAACGGGTTCGCATCCTGCTTTTAATCCTCTTCACCATCAACCCTGGTTTTAATCTTCGTTGGTCAGTTCTATTTTATGACGGGTTGTTTGTTTTTATTGTGTTTGGTCAGCACAGATGATCAGATATTTACTGTATATATTATTTATACAAACATCCTCAGTCCTGATGATAGAATAATAAACCAGAGACCCTCCAATCATGTACTCTCCTAGGATTACATATTACTCTATTTTTTCTAATGCTAGTATTACCCAGTGCTGTACAGAGTGTGATGATACAAAACAAAGCCAAAGACGATAACTCTGTATTTGGTCAATCTCAACTCACTTTTGGAAACGTAAGCCTGAGAGATTGCGATTATTTATATTTTGTAAGGCTGAATAAACAGCTGACTCGGATCAATTGAAGTAACTACAGTCGCCACCTGCCTTCTCTGTTATCTGAACTGCTGCCATCCTATTGAGAGGAAGCCAAAGTGCTGGCGCTGGTACAGGGGTTCACACACAAGCCTCTTGTGGTAATTAGTTAATACCCCAGGAGCCTTGAGTTTTCTCTGTGACGGCATCCAGACGGACTCCATAAAACAGATACTTGGAATTATGTGTTATTTTAGTAGGACATAATAAAGTGTACTTTCTTGTACTGACACACAGCAGCCAACAGGTTATAGTTCTGTGTTTCTCTGATATTAGGAGTGTGTCCAAAGTGAAGTTTGTTTATCAAAATACCACCTTGCCTTGTTCTGAGGAAAATATCTAATTACCGTATTTACCGGACTACAAGTATCTCCGGAAAAAAATGTGTTAGTTAGTAACCGTATTTACCGGACTACAAGTATCTCTGGAAAAAAATGTGTTAGTCGCTCCGAAGTAAAAGTCGCACCAGCCAGCTAGAGTGCCCTCTAGTGGCTAACAGTGTGAAAATAAAGAAGATGTAAATTTTCAGTCATACAGGAGTAGCAGATACTGGTACACAAGCCTAGAGTGCCCTCTAGCAAACCAAGCCAAAGGATGAAAAAAAGTGCGACTTATGGTCTAGAAAATATGATACGGTATAAAACCCTGTTTTGGTAAATAATATGTAAGTATAACATAATGTATATAACATAAGTATGTTTTAAAATAATGCCAAGCCTTTTACATCTTAGGCAGTAAGGCAGTAAAATAAGACATCTTTTTATAATCACTTCTACCTTTACACACTATATAAATTACCAGTTATATCGGGCCATGTATAAAAAGCTGTGATCCAACGGAGGTGTTGTTTATGACTCCGTCTCCATGGCTGGAGATGCATTTAAATTAATTAAATGTTCAGACGGCAGGTTGTGCCACTGAGCTTCACCGGAAGATGAACACACTCCACGTAATAATGCAGCAGGGAGCAAATTAGTCAGGCTGGGAATTTAAATGTACCCTGTATCCGAGCTCTGGTTTTTGCGTTGTAACAGTGTTCAGCGACACCAGCTTTCCTGTCGACACCTCATGTCTGGGGACGAAGTGAAAGATTCACAACGTTCTCCTTTCCACTGAGTAGCTTCTTCAGTGGCCTCAGCTGAGGTTTTTTCGTCTATTAATTACATTTTTTTGCTGCTGCATTTTGCCTTTGATGAAATGTGACCTGACCTGAGTTTTGAAAATCATCATCAGATACTCATCATATTTTCATCTGTTTAATATGACCTAGATTATATGAAAGGGTTGAATTTTTGCTGCTGACAGTATCGTTTTAAACGCCTGTCTCCAACCCATTTCTGTACCAGGGACCAGTCAGCCGGTATCAGCCGTTACTGTGGACCAGTAATACCGCGCCATTGTTAAAGGATCATTCAGACATTATTCTGTGACTATCACAGTATAAACAGTAAAGGACTATGACTTTTGAATGAAGTAAAAAAACTGGAGTACATTTTTTCAGTGTCCCTCCGCGGCCCGGTACCAAATGATCTACGGACTGGCACCGGTCCCCGAACCAGGGGTTGAGGACACCCTGGTTTAAAAAAACAAACAAAAATGTGTCACATTGGGGCAAAAAAATGTGGAAAGTTTGGGGAACTTTGGTTTGTGGTGTGAATGTAGCCACAGTGCTGCCCCACGGGTTACGGTTTACTGTACGGAATATCTGAGAGTGAATGAATATTTTGAATTCAGTCGTCATGTAGTTTTCTGTGTTTGTGAAAATTTGTGATAAAAATCAGGTTACCTTACCGTCTTTGCCCACGTTTCCTTATAACCAAATGTATAACTTTGTCTTCGGCTTGGCCTATAGAACCTAAACAAGCATCTGTGCTGGGTCACGGCATTAATATGTGTGTGTGTGCGTGTGTGTGACTCCCTGCTACCTGCAGTGTAACACAAATAAGGGCAGTAGCAGCTAATAATTCCTTGATGCTATACCACGATTTTGAGCCTACTGTACTTCAGATCCTTCTCCGTTTCATCCCTCCCATCGCTGGTCTGGACTCCATCCAAACTCTGATACTGTAAATGCCTCTACAGATGCATGCTGATTTGTTAGTGGGAGGTTCTATGTCTCTCTCCTTTACTCCATGCCTTGCTTCTTAGCCCTGCATCCTGCCTGCTGCTTGCCCTTTCACTTGAAGGTTTATCATATACCAGCCATTTAAATTCACCGCAGCCTTTGAGTTTGTTTTTTTCCATACTTTCCATCTTCCAGCTACATATTTATCTATACATATATTTTAAACAACACCACGTGGTGTTTTCTTGTCAGCCATAATGGAGGGATTTTTTTTTCTGGCAATGAGGCGGTCATTGCACAAAAGATGCATATACTATGTGTTTTTTACCCCGACCATTTTTTATTTACCTTTCTCTAAATATAAACACCACTCCGTTTTGCTAGATTCAATTAATTTATTTCGCATTTTTTAATCAGTAAATTTTTTGTGATGGCACTTTATAAAACAAATACACAACATGATTTGTGTTCAACTGGCTAACCCTGGTATTTTTTTAAATATTATTCTTTAGCATAAAGATAAAAGTCACCCTGAATATTCCTGGTGGGAAAAAAAGGAATAAAATTTAAGGTAGTCAGAGTTTGTAATATATGTCTTTCAAATTTGGTTGTCACCTTTAAAATGAGTGAGTCCCCGTAAAATAAGTTTGACTAACGTTTGCTCTAATCCGCTGATCAAAGAGCGCAGACGATGGAAGGCACCGACAGGTGCATTTAATTATATCCCACCCTCACAACACGAGTGCATCTGCGATTAAGATGGACAGCTGACGGAGAGGGAGAAGGATGAGAGAGGAGAGAGGCGACGACAGGAGACACTGAATCTGCCGCAGCTCTCGGTCTCCTGGGAAGCTGGGCGGGTCCCGCAGACACACGTGTTTTATCACCGAGCCTCATTACTGGTGACATATACACTGAGGGACGAGAATGCAAAATGTCACAACACTTCAATTGCTGCCATGTTTTGCCTTTTCCAGGAGCGGTGTTGTATTAGAAAGACCTTCTTTTGTTCTATTTTTAAATGCCTTGTCGATCCTTCCTTGTTGTTTTGTTTTTTTTCAACGAGCCCCAGTGCTCAGTAGCTAACGAGCTAACATGCACATAATTGTCACTGCGACCCGTGCAAAATAACAGTGGTCTCACATTAGCAGAACAAAACAGAATCAACAGTGGTATTCATGTGATGCCTTTTTGTCTGCGTTGGCACGAGGACAACAGGAGGATGTACAAACACATTTTTGTTTTTAGACAAAAAGCACAACAACAAAACGTTCTATGAAGGGCAGACTTTTTATTTTTTTTCAATTCCTGAAGATATTCACATATTTTGGGTTTCAAAAACCACAAAAAAAAACTTCTGTTGTCTGAATAAAAAAAGAACAACATCTGGGCGGAGATTTCACGTGACAACATGCTATTGGTTTAAGATAATCTCTGTGCAATCTTAATAATTTACAGATAAAACTAAAAACACGTGTTTTATTATTATGTTATCGTCTGATGACGATCAGATGATGAAAAATATTTAAGATTTTAAGATTCTTCCACACAATAAAGATGTGTAAAAACATTTTAAATACAATTTTAAAAATTGATAGCTGACATTTTATTAATAAACACCATTTATTTATACATGTGGATAATATGTGTTCTGGTGTTTTAAGCTGGATTAAACAAGGTGCCTTCATATTGGGTTTTGGTGAATCGGAGGTTTGTAAACCCAGTTGGGATGTAGGCAGGGGTGTGGGGCCAAGGATGTTTAGGAACTGTTGTCTTAGCATGTCATATCCTGTAGCAACAACAGCTAATTCTATGAGTTTTGTGAGACCGCGCTGTATCTGCATCGTAGCACAGTGTATACTCTACCCATAGTATAAAAGTACAAAGGTCGAGTACTTACACAAGAGTTGTCACTTGTGGTATCTGTGGTTTGACACTGGTTGGAAAAATCGCATCCTGTCGGATAATGGTTTTCCAATTGTGTGGCTGAATTGACTGTGGGTTCTGCCTCGGTGAAAGGTTCTCTTGTTTCCTCCGCCGTCACCCACCGTATATTCTCTCCCTCTCAATCCATCTTGCTTCTTTTCATTCTCTTTCCATCTCTTCACCTTTGATTCCTGCCGTTGTTGTCTCTGTCCGCCAGCGCAGAAAAGAGGAAATGACACGCTAACGAATGGCCCCGCGGAAAAAGCTGCAGAAAAGGCTTTTTTTCTTTTTTTTCTTTCAGTCTCACTCCTCCAAGCCTGTAATAACCACTTTTGTGTGTGCTCTCTGTTTGCAGGAGAAGGAGGAAGCAGACGGGAACATCGATCAATGTGAGTACACTTACTGTGTTCAAAACAAACAGCATTTTTCAGAATATGCCATGTTGTGCTCCATGACACTCGACTCCATGACGGTGTTGTACACTTTGGCTTTCTGATCACTGGGAAAATATCGCCGGAAGGTAATTCAAATATGGATGACTCCTGTAAAATTGATCTGGCGGCCTGTGGTGAGGGTGACCTGGGCGACGCCGTAAATTACACCCTCTAAACGACCACTTGTACTAAAATGGCTTTTCCTTACTCCATTATTGTGGGGGAAAAGAAATGCCAGTGAGTGGACTGTTTTGTTGCCTCTCCAGTCATTTGCATCGACTTCTACCATGGACAAAAAACTACTTCAATTTAGTGAAACTAATTATTGTTCTGTGTGTGATTTACTTATCTCGGTCCAAAGGGAAAACAAAGAAAGTCTCTGACATCACGTATTTCAAACTGGGCAAAATATTTGATCTGGAAAACAATTATTCTGCTGTTAAATAGAGTCAGTCCTGTGTCAATTGCGATGACAGAAGAAGAGAGTTGTTGTTTTGTTTGGTCGCTGGCGCCTTCTCCACAGTTCTGCTGTGATGACAGTTGACGCTGCTTGATTAGGACGAGACATTTTCTTTACTGACCATTACCAGATAAAGGTTCGTCTACAAACAGAATTGTATCTGCAAGGTTAAATACTCATGTTTGTTCAAAAGGCGTGCTTTTGATTAAGTAACTTCGACCAAAGCTACAAGAAACAAAGTTGTACTGTTTTGATTATATGGTGATTCACCAACTGAGGACTTAGGTCGTTAGGTTGACTTATTGACTTGTCATATTAAAAATAAGATATGACCAGTATTTATTTTCCTGGGCAAGATCGAATCCCAGTTAGGGCGGTTGGTACCTTCCAGTGAACTCACCACCTGCAGGAAGGTTCAGGGGGGTTGGTACGGTGCAGTGACAGTAACGGATAAGCGGATGAAAATTGATGGATGGATTTATTTTCTGTACGTTGAGGAGCAAGTATCCTTTCGGTAATGTTTGGTTGGTTAGGCTGTGTGTCCCGGTGTAGACTTACTGTAGCCGTTTACCATTTCCTCAGCTCTGGCTGTCTTGTGTGTCTTTGCTTCACCTGGGTCTGTTTTCTCATGGATCGATGCTCTGCCGCAGCTCTCAGTTTAGCTTAACAGGTCGTGATTCTCTGTGTCATCTGTAGCTGCAGGAGCTCACTCCCATTTTTTATTTATTTTTTTTTTTTGTCATGAGCCACAGAGTAAACAAAACCCTGCGGTCATAATTTTTACAAACCAAAAAATAATCTTACAAAAACACAAGTCCAACTTGTTCATCTTACAAATAGTAAAAGAATACTTTTTCATTCTAGCTGTTTGAGATGAAAATGTTGAAAGAATGTTCCCCGACCTGCTGCAGTGACTGAGTTTGAACGTGTTTTGTTGAATGAATGTTTGCCTAAATACTAAAAAAAAAAACCCACCACTCACAACTCTACATACCCACAACCCCCAGCTCAGTAACTCCGCAAATAAAAATTAAAATGATTAAGATATCGACGCTCCAGTGTTAAAGGCACTTCCAATAAAATCTCATTTGACCTCACCGCCCCGTTCTGTCTGCCAGAAATGATCAAATCCTTCAGGTAGGATGGCAAATGCACGGGTTTGCTTTCATGGCTTTGAAAACAAACATTCAAAGTTCAAATCACATTCTAAAATTAACTGCAAGCCAGTGAAGAGGAAATAAAACAGCAGCGATGCGTTCATATCCGCGAGCGTCAGTCAGTCTATTTTGGAGCTGATCTTGAAATAGTGCGAAAGGCTCTTTCAAGACTGCGGCGTTTCAGGAATGGCCTAACTAACTTTGACCACGATAAATACTGTAGATCGGTGCTTCTCAAAGTGCAGGGCGGGCCCCACTGGTGGCCAATGGAGACATGACAGGTGGGGCCTAACAAACGGGATGACATTTTCATGGTTCAAGTGATGATGGCACAACTTTATTTTTATTTTCTCTTTTGGAACTTTGTGTTGTTTGATGTGATTGATTATAAAATCTGACCGAACTTGGTATCAGTTTAATTCATTTTTGAGATGTTTGTTGGGGTAACGGAGGCAGACACGGCTTGAAAATTCCCACTTGTTCAAACGGAAGATTTGTTTTTAGATTTTTTCTTATATTCTTTTTGTCTCGTAAAGATAATGAGAGGTGAACCTTTTTTCGTATAGCACATTTTTTCCCTGCTTTGTCTTTGTCCTTTGCTTTACCACCAAGTCATCCTAGCTACTTTTTCCCCATCCCTATTTTTATTCTCTTTTCACTCATCCTCTACCTTTGTGAGAAAGAAAAACACCTTTTATTGTGCCGTCTACACTCCTCACATTGAGGCGATGACATAAATCAAATTGGCCCAGTTTTACCTCTGGAACGCAGATGCTGTTGGTAAGAGAAAAAAAAAAGTGCTCTACTGCAAACATTGCATATGAAGGTTTTTAAGTTGGCTCAGACAGAAATCCCCATTTAATTACCCTTTACTGGTCGCTGATGCTGAAACCACTCCTTTTCAAAGTCTCTCGCTGTGGAAATGTGCAACGGTTTCTCTCGGCGCTCTCCTTTTCACGGAGCGATTTTGTGGGATCTTATGGAAAAATTGAATATTACCCATTTATCCTCCCTGCGAATTGTATTAATTTGGCTGCCGATGCTTAATTTATGAACCTTTGCAAAGGCCTAATCAGAGTTTGTTACCATTGCAAATTAAACAATGGGAAGAGCTATAGCAAGTTAAGCTGTCCTGGTTCATTTAGATTGTAATTGGGTGGGAACTGGAAGGGACAAGGTTGACAGAGAGGCTCCCTAATAGGCGGCAAATGAGGAGGGAGGAAGTCAGGAGGAAGAGGGGGGGGGGACGGAGACAGAAGAATGGGGAAACCAGCAAAAGTATATATAATATACGTTATACTGTAGCATTTCTGTTTGTCTTGTTTTTTGTTTTTTGTATACGTTATACTGTAGCATTTCTGTTTATCTTGTTTTTTGTTTTTTTGTGGAATGATAAATAAGTGAATACTTTACACTTTTGCTGCTGATGTTGTTTCACCTCGCCTCGACACTGCAGTCCATACAACAGCTGCTGTAGCTTAATTTAACACAAATGTGGAGAAAAGAATCCCATTAGGTTGATTTTGGCAATTAAATAATGGTGGTTACAATTATTTAGTCGTGTGTTTTGAACGTTGTAGAGGTATTTTTTCATATATATATCTAATATACGATGACCAGTTTGTTTATGCTGCATAATGCAACATTACTTTGAGTTTTTTATTCCTGTTTGATGCCTATGAAATCCAGAATCCAATCTAGATCTGGAACCTTGACTTATAACCATACTCATAAAAAATGTTTTGTTTTTTTTACTGTTGTTAGTGAAGTTAAGTTATATACTGCAGTATTGTCTTGTTGGATCGCTTGTTAATCCGACTGATGACAACACTTATTTAATGTGGTTCCATTAATGTCCTTGGGGTATATGTATATATATATATATATATATATATATGTATATATATATATGTATATATACATATATATATAATATGCTACATTACGTGACATGCGTTGAGAAAAACAAAATAGCATTAGTGAGATTGATATCCTATCGTGCTAATGAATGAACCTAGTCCATGTACGTTATGAGATTCTTTTGGAATTATTGATCGTACAGTGCAAAATTATCGCACAAATATGATGAATATGGTGCATCGGGCAACACTGTACTAGCATTATCTTTGCCTTGTGTGAAGTCACACGCGTGTCATTTGTCAACATAAAAGGAACGTGTCGCGAATGCCTTTGATCTTAGCTTAATGAAGAGCCAACGTCTTCGCCTTTGTGTTACTGTGAAAAACAACTGACCATAAGAACATTGTCAAAAAAGAGATTAAAAAGACTGAAGGAAAGAGAACATAAGACAAAAGCATTAAATAAAACGAATCACACAATAGGGAAAGTGTTAGTTTTAGTTGAAAAGAAGAAAAAAGTTAAAATTAAAACATTTCGTTCATTCTCTGGGGCATTTTTCCCTGGCCACGATGCAGATGTTTGTCAAGACCCTAACTGGCAAGACCATCACCCTGGAGGTCGAGCCCAGCGACACAATAGAGAACGTGAAATCCAAGATCCAGGACAAGGAGGGCATTCCTCCAGACCAGCAGAGACTCATATTTGCAGGCAAACAGCTGGAGGATGGCCGCACTCTCTCTGACTATAACATCCAGAAGGAGTCCACCCTCCATCTTGTTTTACGCCTCAGAGGAGGACTGGAGGTCTTGTGAAGAACCTGACACTTAAAAAAGCTCATCGCTCTAAACTGAACCAAAATACTGCGGCCTAAATAGGTTAAGGAGAGCATCTCTGTAGATCAGCATCCCATCCTTGCTGGTAAGCAGCTGGAGGATGGTTACGCACTAGACCACACAACTTTCCCCCCGTTATGAGCAAGCCCAACCGCTATTCTTGACCTGTTGACTGATGATGGAGTAGTTTATAAATATATTATACCTGGACTTGGGAGAGAAAAGTAAAGTAGATTTGGTTCCAGATTAAACAGAATACATCACTAAAACCCTCAGTGATGCTGAACCTCCGTTGGAGTTTAAAGCGCTGCGAGAGACTTTATTATACGTGGTTGAACGATGGACTAGATCAGGAACCAGCCCTGAACATTTCTAAAGTTGCCCTTGAAAAACATTTGCAAAGGCCAATAAGGGAATGTCTTCCCATCCTACCAACCAGTCGAGCAGCCTTTCTTCCAGCAAGTGGAGGTGAAGAATGTTAAATGCAGAAATGCATTTGAGGGAGTGAAGTGTTATAACATTTTAGAGAGCACTGCTTATTCGAAAGACTCAATCAATAAGTAATTCATGATAGAAAAGTGATACATCACTTCACATTCCAGCTCCTGTTGAGCCACGGGTCAATGAAAATAGATTGACACAAAAAGAAACCACTTACTGTATTATTGTGAATGTAACAAAAAAAGGGTGTTAACAGCTATTTGACTCGTGTGTACCTGCAAAATCAGTGTAAAATACTATAAAAAAGTGGAATAAGTAAAACAGATATAAATAAATTCAAAATTATCCATAAAGTTCTTTTAATTTGAACTGATTTGATTATGCAACATTAATGACGCCACCTGCGGTTTGTAGCTGTAACTGCCTCTTGTGTTCTTTTTTTAAACCTTAGCTAGTAATTCATTAGCAGTTGATGTTCATAATTAGAGTACTTCTGGACTACTTCCCTTTGTATTTTCTTCTTGGTAGACGTTCATCTGGACTACTTCCCTTTGTATTTTCTTCTTCTTCTTGCTTGGTAGACGTTCATCCTCCTATCATACACCCCTCTGCTCTCTCTTCTTTGCGTAATTTAAAATGGAAAAAGCTCCATTAACAACTGTTAACCCTACGTTGACATCGGTATCTTCTGCAGCTCTGCACGTCAGCCAGAACTATATTTTTCAGGCATCCTCCGTTCATTTAGCCATGATACATTATTTTATGGGGATACTCAGCAAGGTTTGATGTCACGCTCGTGTCATCAAAGCATCAAAGGCATAAAGCGTATAGTGCTTTGATCTTGACGAGGCAACACCGCTGAAGAACAAACTGAAAAGTCAACCATTTGGAAATTTTCCAACCTATGAAGAGAAAAGCAGACATAAAACCCTGTTTGCTAATCCTTCTGAATCAGGAGAACACTTTGCTTTGTCAAGATGCAGATGTTTGTGAAAACCCTGACTGGCAAAACCATCACCCTGGAGGTTGAGCCCAGTGACACGATAGAGAATATAAAGTCCAAGATCCAGGACAAGGAGGGAATCCCACCAGACCAGCAGAGACTCATCTTTGCTGGTAAGCAGTTGGAAGATGGCCGCACTCTGTCCGACTACAACATCCAGAAGGAGTCCACTTTACATCTCGTGCTCCGTCTGAGAGGAGGAATGCAGGTGTTTGTGAAAACCCTGACTGGCAAGACCATCACCTTGGAAGTTGAACCCAGCGACACCATTGAGAACGTGAAAGCCAAGATCCAGGACAAAGAGGGCATCCCACCAGACCAGCAGCGTCTCATCTTTGCTGGAAAGCAGCTGGAGGATGGTCGCACTCTCTCTGACTACAACATCCAGAAGGAGTCCACTCTACATCTTGTGCTTCGCCTTCGGGGAGGAATACGGGATTTGGTACAGACTTCCGGTACATACTTAGACTGGTAAGACTGTCGCCCTGGAGTTGCTGCCCAGTATGACTATAGAGAATCTCAGGGCCAGATCTTATGGGAGAATAAGATAACATTCCACCAGGCCGACTGTGTCTCTTTTTTTTTTTTGCTGGTTGACACCCAGATGATTGTCCCAACCTCCCTGACCTCTAGAATGAGCTCAGCTTTTGCATCTGAGAAGGCGAAACTATGCCCGTGATCAGAAAGACAATCTTTTAAGAAAGAAAAAAACAAACAGCTGTTAAAGGGTTAAACTCGCATTAGAGAGGTAAAATAACGTTGATTCACAAGAATCTAAAAAAGGTGAAAAGACAGAAGTGATGCCACATTACGGATGCTGTCTGTCAGGTAATTTACTACTGAATGACCATCCAACTGACACACGTGTCTGGTGCTCACAACTCATACAAATGTTGAAGTCAACTCAAAAAAAAAAAAGAGAGGGATAAAAGAATATATTTATAGGTATTCGAGCAAATAGAGGTAAGGATCAAATCAGATGTTCTCGAGCACAAAGACACGATATATGGGGGGAAGTCGGCACAGTTCTTTTTTTAAAGAAACGGTGTGAAGATCACAGATACATTTGATTAAGCAGGTGCCGCGAGCACCGGGGGAGATAGAAGACATCGCAACGGAAGATGAAAAAGATGAAGTAGTAATTGTGCAAAGTTACAAATGCTAACCACAAATAAGTATGTAAATCATAAATGTAAGTATAACAATAAACAGATTTGATTGACAAAGACAAGGGGAGCTATTGTTTGCAAGATTTAACCGACAGATGTAGTGATAAAAATGCAGGTCTGGGACACGGAACAATACGCATTTAATAATTCAATGTTTATTCACAAAATCCGGATATAAATATTTGATTGTACTTGATGATATTCAGAAGCGTTTTGCTCAGATGTTCTATCCTGTTTTCATTCTTTGTGTACCGAAGGAATACAATACGGCTGTATAATAGAAATGTTCCGCTGTGTGTACAATGTAAATACAGCATTTCTAAAGCCAATCTCCCTTTATCTTTCTTTTTGCACCATGGCAACTTCTTCATACACCATTGAAAAGTCGACATATATATATAGTAGGCGTCTTACTAGTGTGGAAATTCAGCAAAGAATATGTGTGGGTCTGACTAACCTGCATGGAGAGGAGAACCAGATCATTGTGGGTCTGACTAACCTGCATGGAGAGAAGAATCAGATCATGTAAAGTTCATGGTAAAGTTCAATACTATTAGTATTGCAGTAGTCACTAGCCTGAGTGGATTATTGAGATAGAACAGTCAACTGTCGAGTAGCTACATGAAAGGAAGGTACTTTTATCACTTTGATCTCTATATAGAGTGATGGCACATCTCAATGGAGACACAAACTGTCCCAAAGAAGAAGAAAAAACTTGAGGAGCTTGATGAGGATAAAGAAAAAAAAAGGAAGTCTAAAATAACCAAAATAACCGTCAACGTACAAGCAGCATCAGAAAAAAATAGTTTGCTGTTTGAGAAGCACTTTGTCTTGTAAAGATGCAGATGTTTGTTAAGACCCTGACCGGGAAGACCATAACATTGGAGGTTGAGCCAAGTGACAGTTTCAAGAATGTAAAATCTAAAATCCAGGACAAGGAGGGAATCTCTCCAGATCAGCAGCGTCTCATTTTTGCTGCTAAGCAACTGGAAGATGATCGAACCCTGTGTGACTACAACATCCAGAAAGAGTCCACGCTTCATCTCGTCCTACGCGTACGGGGGGGTATGCAGATCTTCGTGAAGACGCTAACTGGCAAAACAATCACCCTGGAGGTGGAACCAAGTGATACCATAGAGAACATTAAGGCCAAAATCCAGGATAAAGAAGGGATCCCCCCAGACCAGCAGCGTCTCATCTTTGCTGGTAAGCAGTTGGAAGGTGGTCGCACCCTCTCTGACTACAACATCCAGAAGGAGTCCACCCTCCACCTTGTGCTACGATTGAGAGGGGGGATGCAGATCTTTGTCAAAACCCTGACTGGCAAGACTATCACTCTGGAGGCGGAGCCTAGTGACACAATTGAAAATATCAAAGCTAAAATCCAGGATAAAGAAGGCATTCCTCCAGACCAGCAGCGTCTCATCTTTGCTGGCAAACAGCTAGAGGATGGTCGCACTCTCTCCGACTACAACATCCAGAAGGAGTCCACTCTACATCTCGTTCTGCGTCTGAGGGGTGGAACCTCTGCCTTTGGTCCTAAAGACGTATCCCTGTATGAACTGAAGACCTTTGACCTTTCAGGAGAGCCATCTGCTTCATCCCCAAAACATACACATTTCAGTCATCTGACTTGCATACCCTACAGAGAAAAAATATGATGGTTAAAAACAGATGTGTGTTTTAAAACCTTTTTTTATTTTTACTTGGAAAAGAGAGATTGCTTCCTTTATTTTTGGAAGAATACTCATTTTAATAACTGCTTTAAATTTAAAAGTAAGCAATGTTGTAGCATTGAGCCTAGCAACATTCAGTGAAATAATAAACATGCTTATTGCAGCTTATTCTTAATGTTTTTATTTGTTATGCAAAACAAAAGAACATACGTCAAAAAGAGCAGGGTTCTGAGAATAGCGCTTTGAGGAACACCACAGAGCAAGTTTCCTTTTTAATTGGTGCTTTTGGAGGTCATTTAAAAAGTGTTTGTAATAGAAAAAGAGGCACAAACAACAGAAATGAACACATAATTTAAAAATAAGTTAATTATTATATAAACTTTTTTTGTTTAAATTATACTTTTGTAAAGATAGCTCAAACTCCAAAGCTCTTTCTTTTTAAAATATATTTTTGTCCTGATTGCTAAAAATAAAACATTGCGTACGTATTCAAGAACGTGATTTCGCTCAGTTGTTGAGCCGTTGAGCTTGACCGCTGAAAAGTTCATCACGTCACAGAGGACTTAATCAAAACAGTGAAATGAAAAAGGCTTTGCTACAAACCTAATATCGTAATATCCTCAAAGTGAAATCCAAACCCTGCGTTTAACAACCGACGGCATCGTGAACCACCTTCTTATCACAATCTTATTGTCTTTCTCATTTCATTTGGATGCAAATTAAGTTCTGTGGATAACCCTTTTATCAAAAGGTCTTAAAGTTAAAGACACAGAGATATTCCTTCAGTTCAGCAGACCCATGGAAACCAATAAAAGGGTTTAAAAGGCACAGGGACTACTAAGACGAACTGAGTGGTAGTCCTGACGACACCTTGGTGTAAACAGACCAAGCTTTTGTCACCGGACTTGTTTTTATGGGTCATTCTCAGTCTTATTAGACACTTTAATCAACTATATTAAACTTCTGGCTTAAATGCTGTTTGTTGTTCTCTTACTTGTATGTTTTGTGTTTATTGAACAAATATGTGCTTCATTTACAAGTGCTTCAATATTGTCTAGAATTGTCAGGTTTCTCTAAATTTGGCAGCTGTGATCGACATTACTACGACTTGAAAACCTTTTTTGTACCAGGGACTGGTCAGCTGTTATTACTGTGGACCAGAAATACCTCAATGTGCCTAATACCTAGGGTCAGTAATTGTTTTTTTTATTCTGTTAGTGATACAGTTTGAATGACATGTTGCTTTGAAACATTGACAGATTATCTTTAAATTTAAAAAGTAAATAGATAGGACTGGATTCTTTTTAAGTGGTGCTTTGGCCCAGAGGCAATGTCTCTGTCATTGCAGTGGAACCCCAGGGTTCACCTCCTGGGCAAGTTTGAATCTAGGTTAGGGCGGTTGGTACCTTCCAGTGGACTCACCACCTGCAGGAAGGTTCAGGGGGGTTGGTACAGTGCAGTGTGATTTGGGTGGAGGTCGTGGAGACTGCTGCCCCCACGACCTGGTAACAGATAAGCGGATAAAGATGGATGGATGGATGGATTGATTCTTTTTAAATGAAAAAAAATTGTAAAGCAGAAGTACATTTTTTTCACTGTGTCTCTATGTGGCCCAATACCAAATGACCTATGGTTCGACACTGGTCCCCAGACCGGGGGTTGGGAAGAGAGCTTTAGTTGGGTGTTGGTATGGATAGCAGTCTACCTTAAATAACCCCTTGATTTCAAAAGTGGAAAACATCATCACTGCTTAAAATCTGTATCTTTCATGTCGTGCACCACAACATGAGAAATGGCTCAGTAATTATTGCCTCCTCATTACGATATATTTCGTCCTCCATTCCCCACTGTTCAAAGACACAGCAGGCTGTTTCAGTCAGCACCCGTTTATTTTGCACCCCAACATGGTTTTGATTTTTTTTTTAGTGTTTGAATAAAGTTTCATCATATAGCGGGACAAGCTTTTATTTTGAAAAACTATACTAAACTTGAAGACTTGGACCATAAATATGTGTCGATAGCCAGTTTACCTTTAGTCCGAGTTTCCTTTCACAATAATCAGTGCCAAAATTTACTCTCTCTGACTGTTGTGTGAAATGTAAGAAAACATTTTAATGGATTTTTCTAAACTTTTCTCGGAGGCGGATCTTGTGTTGTTGAAGCTCATGTTCCTCCAGGCAGGATGACCTTGGTGTTACACAGGCACGTGCCGTGTCATTCAGGCTCTGCTGGGATTAAGAATTGGATTGTACTCTCTCAAGGGCATCTTTTTGGGAAAACACACCATTAACAGTTAAGCAGAAATAACATCTTTAATCCATTAGCTGTACTGTTTATTCTCAATGGTCACAAAGGCACCAGCGTCAGCATGGCTTTAGGAATGCGACGAAAAAAAATATTGCTGAATTCGATGCATAAATGATGAGTTGCAAATGTATTTTCACCAAAAGTAATCTTAAAATTCCATTTATTTCACTTTATTATTTAACTTTTAGAAGTTAGAGATTTAGAATTTATTCATTAAATAGTGACGTTTTGATTTTCATCAGCAGATCTGCAGACCTTATTCTGCAACATTTTCATTCATTTCTAAACATCAACAACCAGAAAAGTCCCGACTACTTAAATTCATCCATTATCTAAGAGTTTTTCTTACCAAGGCCACAAGGGGGAGCCAATGTAAATAACAAAGTTACCTATTTACATGTAATGGGAGGATTACTTTTGACTAATAATAGTTCATTTAGAAAAGTACTGCAATATTGACAGTTTCTGTATTTGAGAATCAAAGTGTTTACGTTTATCTTTACTCGTCTGAATCTACGAGAACACAACCTAGCTACAAGCTAGATTATATGAAAAAAAATAGGAGTTTAAAGTTGAAATTTGCTGCAGCCACTGAAGAAAGATTTTTTTTCTTGTCATACCACAGAGTCATGAGTCAGGGACAAATGAAGAGTAAGTGGACCTTATTCATACACCTGATTGGTTGACAGAGTCACTCACCCCCATGGCTGTGATTCCTGTCATTTAACATAATCGTATTACCGTAATTACCTGTCATTTCTTCGGTCTTTTACGTATCACTCAACGTGGAGGTCAACTCCTGTACGGTGCCGCTGCGGCGGTGTGTGCAAGCGTCACCGCGAGCCCTTCAGACCCCTTCTTTACCTTCGTCTCCCCTGAATTTTTTACTGCCGTACCCATCAAGAGCGGACGGCTTTATGAGCTGGGAACAAAAATGATTGCTTTTGAATTCAGATTATATGCCTCTACGCTCTCTTTCCCTTTCCCCGGTGCACCCTCCCATTCTGCGGCTCTCGCCCTCACACCCACGTCCGACACACATACTTTATAAAAACATGCTGGTAGGGCGACACACACACACACACACACACACATATATATATGTACTGTTGGAGTTTGAAGATAAGTTATTGCGATTTGGTTCGCAACCAGCAAGGTCTTGGGTAACACTTTGCAAAGGACAAGGTGTATTTGCATACCCCCGAGGGAGGCTGAAATATTAATAAGCTGCTGTCAGATCACATCTTTATGACTCCGTAAACACATTCACTCTTAAATACTCTCCTATAACTCAGGATCAATCAGCACATTTTGGAGTTTTTCAGTAGTTTATCAAAATGTCACACCCCGTTAGTCATCGACCGTATATTTGAATTTCTCCTAATCTTTCCGGGTTTTTTATTTTAAATTTCCCATTGGAAATTCCTGCTCACTGTTTTCCATTTTACAGCATAAATCTTGTGCTACTGTTGAAAAATAACCAATTCTGGGCACAAATACTAATTCCTCAGCCAAAAAGTAAGACGGCTCTGCCAGAAATTCTCGGAGTCTGTAATTGAATCGAAACAGACGACGATGCCTCCAGACACAAAGAAGCAGTCGACAATGGATTGGCCCTACAGTGGTAGGAATGGCGCAATATGGTTTGTGAAATTGGGTTTACTCCAATAACGTTTGTTTGTTACAACATGGGTTTTAAGTGGTCGTTTGTTTGCGTCAGTTTCAGATTTGGATTTTTATCTATTGGGCAGAATGTCAGTTTCTAACACTTTCTTGTGTTTTAAAATTCACATTTGAGTCCTAACGCGAATTAAAAGATAATAATTTAAACACATATTTGGTATTTCACAACTTTTTGTTTTAGGTATGAAAGCAAATGTGTCAACGTTTTTAGAGAAAAACTTGCCAAGATCTTCCAGGATTGTAAAAGTATCTCTCTTAAGTGTAAACTGTTGAATCTACTAAGTACTTCTTTTTTAAAATTTACTGCACCAAACTACTGTGCATATACTGCAGGTACTCCGGAGACACGTCTCAAATAAGAATCTAGAGAAACTTGCAGCATTTTTTAAAACCATTGAACATTTTTAAAATGCAAGAAAAATAATGAGGTAACCCAACTTGGTTGAAATTTAAAGGATGTGAGAGACCCTCACCAGTGGCTCGGCTCATGGGTTGTTTGTGCTGGGAAATATATCTCCTACTTTCTGTGAAATTAAGTCAATGAATAATTTATTATAATTCAACATATATTTAAATGTAAAATGGTTTGGACAGCAGCTACCGAGTGATGGAGAGCGAGGCACCAGTGGCATTTCCTCTTCTTTTTTTTCATTTCTTCTCACAGAGGGCAGTGGCTTCTGCTCCTGTGGTGATTGCTTTGTAATCAGTTAATGGCCGAGGACATTTGATACTGCCCACAAATCTAGTTTAATCATATTTTATTTATAATTTAAACTCAATCCAATGAAGAAAATGAATACGTTCTTCTAAAAGGTATTAATTCAAAGTAGCATGTACAATGTTAAAATGTCTCAGATTATAAAGTACACTCTATGGCAGGGCTGTCAAACTCATTTTGGTTCAGAGGTCGCATACAACCTAATTAGATTTCAAGTAGGTGGGACCAGTACAATGATAACACAATTACCTATAAATACCAATAGGTCCATGTTTTTACCCCTTTGTTTTCATTCAGACGATTGCAAGTATATCAGATATTTATTATTGTTCATTTTTAATACCATATAATTTTACAAATAGTATCCTGAACATGAAGTGTTTCTGTATTCATTCATCATCAAGTGGGCCAGATTCAATACCCTAGCGGGCAGGTGTTGTTCCCTAGGCCGTATGTTTGACACTCCT